CTTAGTCACCATGTGAGGCCTTGTAGCAGCCAAATCATGTTGCCACAAGGCCCACACGCGACAACCAATTGTGATCAATTGTCGTTCGATAAGAAATGCAAAAGGAGAGGAGAGGAGAGGAGAGAAGAGGAACAAAATAGGCATAACTGAAGACAAAAGAGAAAAAGGAAGAGGAGATAAAAGAGAAAAGAGATGAAGATTTAAGAAGGAAGTGGAGACAAAAGAGAAAAAGAAAGCGGAGATAGAATTTAGAGGTTTCAGTTCTCGATTTAAGGAGGAAGTGAAGACAAAATGGTAAGTTACATATACCCCTTGACAGTTGCAAAAGTTGCATATATCACCTGTTGAGCTCGAGTAAGCTCGCAAGCTGCTTGACTTGAGTATTGGAAAGCTCAAACTCCACTCAACTCAACTCAGCATGTGAGCCATTCGAGCTCGAGTTTTTTTTGTGGAGCCGAGTCTGAGTTACTCGCAAGTGGCTCGGCTCGTCTAACATCCTTACACATAATAGGTTATTTAGAGTACTTGTCTCTTACTGTCCACACCCATAATTCTTGACTCTTCTCCATTAAGAGAGGTTTCATAGATTTACCAACTTTTAGTGTAGGAAAAACTTGATAGATACAAAGTTTAATCCTTCGCAAGTGCACGAGTCGCAATCGCAACATAGTGCACAAGTAAGGGTCGATCCCATAGAGACTGTAAGTGCTCTCATGATCCTAGAAACTATGCCTTGATGAAAACAACAAGAATTGAAATAAAGAAAACATATAAACGACAGTAAAGTAAATATAAATCTAACTATCTACAAAGAATCCTAATGCTCTAATTCCATAATAATAATCAGCCTACATGTTCACCGTTAAACAATCGTTCTCCCCACTCTACTCTAGGGTTCGTGCATCATCGGGTTCAACCTAGTACTTTTGTCATCTAAATTAGCTGGTGACGTATAGTCTAGTCTAAATAACGAAGGAACCAATTCACATAGACACAAATCATTCATTCACAGAGCTAATCAACATAGCGCGACGTCTCTCGTTTTTAAGGTATTACCGTGGCCATTCAAATTAACCTAGTGTTTCTATCAACTAAACTAGCTAGTGGCGTATAGCCTAATCTAGTAACAAAAACCCATTAAGCATAAGACAATAACCAACATATACCCGGGTAGGGCTACAAATCAGTCATTCCACACACAATCTTGCTCATGCAATCAGTTAACTAGCGTCAAGGTTGTTCAGGCCCTAATATCAACTAAAGATTGAATTAAATGCAATGAATGAATCTAGATTATAATAGAATGGATCAAACAAATAAAATAACAATAAAACACAAGCCTTCAATTAGATTACATCAAATCCCTAGAAAACAAACTACAACATAAAGGAAAAGAAACAACAACACCTGAAACCATAAACTGAAGAACAAAGGAGGAGGGGAGGAAAAGAACCTCCTCTTCTCTCCTCTTTAAGCTCCACCTTTCCAAGAGCCCAAAATGTATTCCAATCCCAAATGTGTTTGTAAAACCTCAAAACTTGCTAAAAACGGACTAAAGCTACCTTTATATAGTTTTTAGACAAAATGGAAAACTTGCAAATATTAGTCGTTGAAATTAGGGTTGGAAATGTGACATTTTTATATTTTGCTCGATTTGTGCCACGACACGGTTGAATTGCGCTACGGTGCCTTTCCAGGTGATATCTTTTTCGACAAAAACCATATCACACCATGGCATAGTTTAATTGCGCTATAGTGCCATTTGGATTTCGCTGACATTGTGTTGCAGCGCCATATTTCTTCGCGAGGGCACAATTTGGATTGAGCCGATTTGTGCCACGCACAAGAAATCATGATGCAGTATGATTTGCAATTTACTTTTTTTCTTCATGCCTTAATTTATCCGCACTTGAACGGGTCCAGGATGTCCGAACACCAACAGAAGCATGAATAATCAATCTTTTTGGACCTGAACACTTGAAAAAACACACAACACCCGTGATTCCGAAAGATAACGAAACATGCATGAAATCACATCATAAATCATGCATTAAACCTTAAATTCCTTACAGTTTCACCCCAAATCACTAAATAAATCTGCATTTCCAACACTCAACACAGATGCCCTAGAACCTATCCGATTGTAGCTATTGACTCTTGTAAAAGATATGTTAATATTAACAAAGGAAAATTCTCGATATCATTGTTCTTATATTATTTAATATATTGATATATGCCCTTAGAGTGCTAGAATCGTGACGAGAGTATCAAGTGTTTTAAATCTTGATTGTGAGGACCCTATGATCACATATAATGGTCACTTTAGAACCGTCTGTAGCCTTAGTATTATTCTGAACTAGGGCACAGGTAATACAGTAAGGCTATCATAGCATTGGACGATCCTACTGAAAGATAGTGATAGATCTCGCATATCAAAGTTGTTTGGTGACAACTTGGTGCAATGCATGGGTGCTTGTATTTGGCAAGTTCACTAGACTAACCCATCAAAGGATTCCATATATATGGTAAACCTAGTGTCTATAGAATATATTCTCTAACAGATGGTGGTGCATGTGGTCCTTAGACTTGAGATCACCAGAGCACCGGGTGTAAATATTAGTGTAGTTTGACACTAGCCTAACGTAATCCTATTAAGAATTATCAGTACAGTAGTGGTTGGCTACATTGAAAAGTACACCATGGATATGGTGGATCAACATAGGATTCATCAAACCTAGGTACAGGAGAATTTATCTTACTGAGTAATTCGGTAAATGACAATGACTGCAAAACTGTGGCCACAGTGGAATTGAATTGGTGGTCAAGTCCAATTTTATTTAGTCATTGGTTTGGTGACCGAATAAGAACATATCAAGGTAATTGATTTGAAGTGCTTCAAATTAATTACCTTGATTTAAAGTACTTTAAGGAAAAGTGCTATTGTCCAGTATTACTGTAGCCCATTTTTGTTGCAACTAGTTGACACTATTTTTGTACTTCAAACCTTGATGAGATAATAGATAATGAAATGATTAGATTGCACGACAACCATATCGTTGATAGGAAGTTGTATTGTTGAATCCAAATCTATCAGGTGGTTATGATGCCTTACTAAAGGCCAATATTGGTCTGTGTTTAGTGAGACAATTAATTTAGTGTTAATCGTGATACTACTCACTATCAATATGATGAAGAGTATATGGGTCACACACATAGAAGACAGTTTAAGAATTAATAAGCGAGAGGGGTTTTTTCGTCTTTTAAGATAAAAATGTATTTTGGTAATCTCACAGTGCAATTAAATTTGTTGAGGTTGTTGCATGTATTTAGTTTCATATGGAAATTAAAATTAGTGAAATTACATGTTTATTTAAATATATGTGTTTATCTATTTAAATGTAATATTATTATTTAATATTAATATATATTTAGAATATATTAATATTTAGGGATAATAATAATATTAATTAAAATACCATATTTACCTTGTTTGGTTGTGCAGTTAATTCTATTCTCATAAAGGAATGGGATTAGTGCTATTCCAATTATAGAATAGGGTTTTATTTGTTACATTATATAAGTGCAACTTAAAATAAAACATATATCACTTTTATAATATTCAAAAACCCTAGCCACCCTTTCTATCAAAAACGTGTTCACCCTTGAGAGTGAATTTTCTCTTTGAAAATTCTGCACTTCTTTATTCTTAAAAATAATTGATTATTCTAGCAAATAAATCGATTAGAAATTTGTCTTGTCTTTGCATGGATACCGTTCGTGCTTTTTTTTTTCTTGGAGTGAAAGCAAATCTACAAAAATCAAGTGAAGGAACCTCCAAATGCCGGTATGAAATCGAATAAATACTTTTACTAGATGTTTCATGTTTAAAACAATGCAAATCGATATAAGGATCGCGAGGTTTTGTTTTATGAATTGAAAATTTTAAAATTCTGATACGTTACAAATGATTCAATAAACTAACACTAACAACGTTTGAAATCTAGTACTTATTTAGAAGTTAAGTCTTACCGCACTCACAAGCACACAACTCACAAAACACAACTTTTCGGAAGCTCTAAGAAGACTTCTTTATACGATAGAAACTTTAACAAAGAACCTCTTAGGTTTCATTTTGTCTATGTGCTCACAACGCTTAGGCCAAAATCAACCTTCAGCACTCACACAAGCATAACCTCATAAACAAAGCTTTTTCAAAGCTTTCTCACTAACTATGTGTGTTGTTGTGTCTTGGTACTTCTTTGTATACTCTAGTACTCTAAAGTCTCACTTTCAAAACACACAACTAAACTCTTTATGTAGTGCTTCAAAACCTTCACTGAAATGCTCCCAAGCAGTACGGGATATACCTTTCTAAAGATCTTTCCAAAAAATTTCAATATATTGTTTAATTTGTTTCCTTTATTGTTTTACCATATCTATAATGGAAATCATTATATGCATTTTTGTTACAGTAAATTTCTTCTTGTTATTGCTAAGGTGCATGATACCCTACTTTTGCTACAACAAACACATTTTCACTATTGCGAAATTACTTTCGATATAGCAAATTTATTTTTACTATTACAAATTTGCTTCTTGAATTTAGCAAGAGAGTTAATTTTGTCTTTGATATCGTTGGCGCCATACAGTATCTTGAGGCGTTATACTCCCTCTTGTAATGTTGCACACACGAAATCTGAATGAAAATCACAAAATGTGCCTCTCAAAATTCTTCCATTCTTTTTATACTTCTCTTTATCTTTATTTATACAACATAAAAGGTTTTTAAATCTTCTCAATACAATCTTTCGAACCATTTGGCTTTCTAATAATTTTCCATCACACTTTCTAATTAAAAAAAAAGTAGTAACTTCAATGACACTGCAGCTCTCAAACACATTATAAAGAGAGAACAAATACTGGGAAAACATAAAATTAAAGTACATTCTATCTAGAAATTAAATAGATGGACTTATATATATTTTAAAAATCTTGCACTCCGAAGAAATATGGTACATAAAACAATGTTGATGATGAGTAATCTTTTACAAACTAACTGCAAAAACCTCTATCATGTGTATTACCTATACACATATGAAGAAAAAGGATGTAAAAATAAAACCAACACACATTAATTAAACTTACACAAATAATTTATGCATCACAAGTCACCTAGTAAAATAATTGCGAGGAGAGAAGAGACGGCGGGGTGAGAACATTCCCATATACCTTGGTGAAGCAAGGCCATCAATGGAGCGATATTCAGGTATAATGAAACCCTCACTCTCCTCACGGTTGGAGATATTATTACTTCTCATGTGACCATTGAAGGTTCCATATTTCACCAACTTCCCAACCCATGATTTCTTCTTAGATGGAGTTTTGTGTTCTGCATTCATCTTCTCACTCAAGTACTCCTTAACTGCGTGTAAACTTTGTTCAACCACCTCCATTGGAGGCGAAACAAGAGGGTTTCCTTCTACACAAAGCTTCTGGAGCTTCTTGAGGCATCCAATGGAATCAGGCAAAACTGTAATCTTGTTATAACTCACGTCCAATTCCACAAGCGACAGGAGAAGGCCAACTGAATAAGGTAGGTTGTCAAGGTATTGGAAATTTTGGCTCACGTTCAGAACTTCAAGATTGATTAAATTCTCCAGGTCTTCGGGAAGAGACCTGAGGCAGTTAAGACGTGCGTCTAATATGCGTAGAGATGTCAGGTGAGTAGTGGATTGTGGAAGGAAAACCAATTTATTCGAGTTGATTGAGAGCTTTTTCAGGTTCAACAGTTCAAATCCAATGCTTTCCGGTAGCACTCGCAGCTTATTAAAGTTGGCATTCAATTCTTCCAGTGACCTGCACAATACCAAAAAAACCTTAATCTTGCTAATTTAATAAGGGGAAAATTTATCCCTACGAAAGTGAAAGTACAAAACAAAAGTTACTCAAGTACCTCAATTATCAGAAGTGTGTTAATGATTTTGTTAGTATGATCCTCTTTTGTTATGTATTTTCAATGTCTTAAGGTGTATTAGCTTTTTTTTTTTTTTTTAAAAAAAAAACAAAAGAATTACTTTTCATATTGATATTTTTCTAACAAAAAAAATTACTTTTCATATGCTTGCTCAACCATCCCTCGATTCCATGCGCGATTCTTCATTCCAAAGCTATTTTTATAAATAATATCATTTTTCAATGTGAATAACTTATACACTAACGAAATAGAGGTAGAGAATTAAAGTAGGAGCGCAACTTCCGTTAAAACATGTTCACATCCATTCATTATTATATTGCTTAACTTATATATGTATTCGTTTAATGTCGCTTTGAGGTGCCAAAGGCCAATTGGCTGAATCAATTTTATTTATTTTTTTATTTTTTTGTTAAATTGATTTGACCTCCGTTCATTATTCTATGCTGGTTACGTTGTTGCAAGTTTTGTGAAAATTTTATTACACTTTTGAATTTTAGATAAATTGCCCCTCACCGTCCGTTGATGTTCTACTAGAGTCAAAGATCTCAATTATCGTGCCTACGACTATTATATATGCGTCAGTGTCAGTATTTCTGGTTCCAATCCAATATATAATAAAGAAAGTGTTAAGTAATTAGGTTATTCTATGGAGAATTCTTTCATATGGGATTGAATTTGTATACAAAAGGATTTGGAAGATAAGGAGAAAACAAACCTGCAATTATCAATAGATTTAGGGAGAGATTCAAGAAAATTGCCAGAAACATTTAGAACCTTGAGCTTGGACAGACATCCAATGGAGTTGGGTAGGGATTTTAGCTGATTAGAGTGCACGTCAAACACCACCACATTTAGCAACCTTGCGGTTAAGGACTCTGGAATATTCTGTCAAGTTTAAACAATAGCACATGGATAAATTATCTTTTGTGGAAAACTGAAATGTTAAAAATAAATTCCTTTTTTTATCTTAATTTTCTTCATTGGTGTGGAGAAATTCAATGTTAATGTTCTATCTTATAATAATAAATAAGCGACACAATACTATGTAGGATAACAAATCATTTAAATTAACTACTAATTCCACAAGGAAGCAGAATATAATGCACGGAACTTGATGGTCAATAAAATATCCTTATCACCAAAGTGTAATTGTGGATGAAAGCAAAGGAAAGGTACAAGTAAAATTTGAATAGAAACAGTGAGTTCTTATCACAGATTCACAAGACGTTATATAATATATATTGCAAAAAGTCAAAGCCGACTGCAATACATATATATCTGTGTCAGCTGATGACCTGTTTTGTATTAATTTTACAATAAAATTTTAAAAACCAATGAAACAAAGTCATATATATCTATATTTTTTAGACTTTCTGTCAGCGTTCAAATTCCTTTTATT